GAGGGGTAAAATGGTCTTTTACCCATACCCAGAGTTAGAGAGAATAAGAGAGCAACCCTTGGTGTATTTGAGTATGAGTGGAGTATTGATTAGAGATACTTATCCAATGTGTTAGGCAGAAGCTAGTTCAAGATTCCCGAGTACGAGACTTTTACTTGCTGGCTTACGAGGTGAGTCTTCTCACTATACTTACCATGAGTGGTACCTTTGTGTGATTGAGATGTTTATTATGCTTAACTGTGTATCTTAATATTTTGCATCATGTCTTGTGATTATGCCGAGTATTGTTATTATGAGCTTATTGAGTTGGGACCAGAGGGTCCCAACGAGACACATTGACCGGAGGGTCTTATTGAGTTATAGCCTAGAGTGGCTAGTGAGTTGTGTGTGGTATTTTGGGGAACTCCCTAAGCTTCGCGCTTACTATGTTATGTGTTATGTATTTCAGGTACTTCTCAGGATCACGGGAAGGCGTCGGCTTAATTGTACACACACACTTGCGTTGGAGATATGTTTTTGGAGGATCCTGGATTTGTGTTATAAACAGTTTTTGAGACATGTGTTTTGATAACTTAATGTTTGTGGAAATGGTGATCTTTGAATGAGACAATTGTTTTATTTTTATGAAAAAATTTGTTTGAAAATTTCGGTATTACGGTATTTCTTAAAAATACACTACTGGTGTAATAAATACCCTATTATTAAACTAGTTAATTAGGGTTACAATGTGATATGGTTGTAACCATGCTGATTGACTAGTGGTAAACACGACGACCTTCTGGCACCGAAACTGATGTGACATTTGTCACCCATAGACCAGTAGGTCCCACTGTAGCTAGCAGCGAGGTGTGGGATTGTCAGTCCCGTATAGATCTATACACACAATGTCCGCTCTCCCTCCAGGAGACTCTGATTACAAAACGCGACATAACAAGTATATTGTTATGTCGTGAAGTAGTGGCTCACATTTCTGGTTTATCTAGTTTAAGTAAAGATCGAATGATATCCTTTTCTTAACAAAGTAGTGTAAACCCGGTATACTTATCTAGTAAAAATAGATTTCTCGTTTGTTTCATAAATTATACCTATTATAATTTATATGTTCTATCTGGTTAGCTTGATCTCTCATGAATGTACCCCTTTGCTCAACGTGATACAAAGGTAACAATATTGATGGAAGTAACCTTTTATATTCCTATAGGTGAGATATATATATATATATATATATATATATATATATAATTAAGAAGGAAACGACTTTCGGACAAATAACTTCACCTTAAGCCCACATCCAAACAAGGAAAATGAAATAAGAAAATTCATTAGTCATAATCCCTTTAAGTCTTATTTATATACTTATTCATATATGAACATGATTTTGACAAATATAAGTTTAAAGAGTTTATAAAACATTTTAAAAGAGTTTAATAGTTTTTCAAAGAGTTTAACAGTATTAAAAGAGTTTAACAGTGTTTAAAAAGAGTCTACATGATTTTAAAGAGTTTACATGACTTTAAGTCATTTGGAAGTATTTGGTAATCTTTTATTGTCAACATAATATTTAAAAGCATAAGAAAACCTTTTATGTGATTGATATCACAGGTAAATATTAACACAATATTAATTGTGTTCAACTTGTATCCCCCCCCCCCCTTAAAAGCATTTAAAATCATTAAAAGATAGATTATAGGGGTATGAACTCACCTGGTGTGAGTGATTTGAATGAAAGATCGATATAGGATGCTTGGTAACACTAGAGAAGTCCCGAGCACAAACGAATCCTATTTATCATATAATAACATATATATATATATATATATATATATATATATATATATATATATATATATACAATTAGTGCATTTAACAACTAAAAAATGTAAAGGAAACAGCCTTAGGAAGTAGGGAACACTTACAAAGAAGTGTTAGAACCGAAAATGAAAGGTTGAAACTTGATCACGGCCAAACTAGATGGGTTCACGGCCCAAGAATGGATCACGGCCCAAGAACACTTGAAGTGTTCTCGGCCAAGATGAAGTGTTCACGACCCAAGGATGGATCACGGCCCAAGAACACTTGAAGATCTTGATGAAAGATGATGAATCAAGGATGAAATCAAAGGATTTCACATGAACAACAATAAAGGGAAGTGTTTCTAGCGATTTAGAGGAGAAAGGAGAGTTTTTGGTGGATGATACTTAAGAGAAAACTTGGGTTCACGGCTAGAAGTGGAGAAGTGAAGTGAAAATCAGTCTAAACTTATATATATATATATATATATATATATATATATATATATATATATATATATATATATATATATATATATATGGAGGAGTTCACGGCCGTGAACCTAGTTTGCGGCCGTGAACCTCACTTGTTGAGGTTTATGGCTCGAATGTGGTTCTTGGTTCTCGGTTCTTACGTGGTTCACTTCCTAACACACAACCCTTACGTATACTAGGTCTAGAAACCTATAAGTTTGACCTTCAGTTGATGTGTTTGACCTTACAATATAGAAATTTCGGGTTGTGACATTTTAACCCTAATTAACTAGTTTAATTATAGGGTAGTTAATACACCAATAGCGAATTTTTAAGAATTACTACTGCAACAATCATTTTCCATAAACAAAACGGGAAACATTCTTCTTATAATTTTATTGCGAATTAAAATTATGTTATACTATGTTATGAGTACAATAACACTTAAACGGAACGGTTTTATGGTATTAAAACTACTTTTCAGTTGTAATAGAAAATAAGGGGATTTTCTGGAACTCATTCTATCATTTTCTTAAAACTAAGGCAACCATAAATGAAACTATACTTATGAACTCACCAACTTAAATGTTGATACTCTCTTTCAAAATAACTTGTATTCTTAGGGAATCAGTAGACAGGTACACCTCCCAGAGCTTTTGAGAAGACAGCTTAGTACCGTGCTGCGTCTTTTGTCTTTTACTTTATCTACTTTTGATGTCAAATGTTCAATGTTTGAACACTTTTGTAAAAACTTATACTTATTAATGCAATGGTTGTTGTACTTTGATTATTATGATGTATGTGTTGTGATACTTGACATGAAGTCACTCACCCCCGGACGTTTCCGCCGTTCAGGTTTGGGGGTGTGACAGTTGGGGATCTTTGATTTTTGGTATAAGAGATATGAACGATGAGTTCCAAGTTGGATCAATTTTGCCATATCTCTCAAAGTGTTTCACTACAGCTGATAAATCACCCAAAAGAACCTCCCGGTATTTCTTTATAAATTTAAAAGTGAAGCTGTCGGGACTTATGGATTTGTCATTCCCTCAGTCCCAAACCGCGTCTCTGATTTCTTGAAGTGTTATGGGAGCTTCCATTACCTGTTTGTCGTGGTCAGAAATTTTGCGGAACCTGTTACTTTGAAAAACTGGTCTGTTTGGCCACGATTCCTGGAATTTGAATTGGAAGAATTTGAAAGCTTCCGCTTTGATCTTGATAGGGTCTGTGCACCAATCTCCGTTAATCATGATTCCATTGATGCGATTCCTTCTGTTGTTATTGATAAACCCGTGAAATTTTTTTTAGTTTTTGTCCCTGTCTATCGTCCACTTGATTTTGGACTTCTATTTTGCATCCATAACCGCTCTTTTTTCTTTTTCAATAATGTCCTTATATCCCTGCCTGCATGTCTTGATCTCTTCATCAGAGAGCAACCTAGTTTCAGCCTCTTTATCAAGGTTATCAACGATCTCTTTAATTCTTTTGATTTCCTTCTCTTCTTTTGAACGATCACTCTGTCTCCATGCTCTTATCGCCTCTATAATACATTTTAGTTTGGCATTCAAATACAAATTTGGGGTGCTGTAACCCACAAAGTTATTCCATGTTGAGATGAAGACTTTTTCAAACCCATCTCTTGATAGCCAAGAGTTAAATATTTTAAATGGAGGGGGCCCAAAATTGCACCATTTAGTAGATAGTAGAATGGGGCAGTGGTGTGAAAGAGAAATTAAATATCTTCCTACTTTTTGTTCCTACATATCCTCATACCCAATGAAATGATGACATGTGTAATATTTAATGTTCATTTAATGAAATTTAATGATATTTTAGGATACTAATATTACACATGTCATCATTTAAATGGGTAGGAGGATTGGTAGGATCAAAATGTAGGAGGATATTTAATTTCTCGGTGTGAAATCTCTCTAGGTAAATTAGGTGTACACGATTATGATTCCATGTATGTTAATTCCAATCTATGTCGGCCTAAAAAAAACCTTACAAACCGGCAATAACATGTAAGAGTGATCGCAATGGAAATTTTGTTAAAAAAGGTTGGCTTTTTGAAGAAAAAATAAATATATTTGTTAAACCCAAAAAGCAAAAAAAAAAAAAAAAAATAAAAAATAAAAATAAAAAAAAAAAAAATATCGACTTATATGTAAAAGACACATCTTTAAAAATATTTTTTTTTCAGAAATCCAAACAATTAATACCAGAAACTGAAAATCTTTTTGCATATATAGCCCGTCAGAGTACCGCTTTCTCTTCAGTGTTGTTGGAGTGTCATACCAAGTTGTTATAAAACAATGCATGTTAAAAAATTCAATAGCTATAGCAAAATATTTAATGTGAAACTTTTAACTAAACCAACTGAGACAACTTTCAATTGTGACCCAATAGTCAAAATGATCGGCATAAAAAAATTTACAACTTGGGTTGCTTTATTTGACAAACGAATAATATAGTGATAAAATACAAAACGATCAAAATATAATGGTTTTTATATAATTTACCAAATATTTAAACACACCGAAAAGAATAAAAATCAACATCTACAAATCTAAAAAAACAATCCCAAAAATTAAAGGTAAAACCACAAAACATTCTACCAAAATCACAAAAACAAGTCTAAGTATATCAAGAATCTATAAATTCAAAGTCATTATACGGTTCAAAACCCAAATAAAAAAATAAAAAAATAAAAAAAAAAAAAAAAAAAATCCAAATCCAAACACATCCCATCCAAATCTTCATCAAAAAAACACCAATCCCATCCTCCCACAACCTCAAAATTTGGCTCCAATATCTATACAATCAACGAACCCCATAAAACACTTCACTTGATCATCATCCAACCACTCATCATCATATTATTTACTTCAAAATCTGGGCTCAATCAAAGGTCTTGATTTGAATTTGGCATCGAAGATTGATCGCCATTCGGTGAGGCTGCATGCGCAGGATCTGAACCGCTGGTGCTCGTTTCGCCAGGTGGCGAGTCGGTTAAAGTGAGGTTCTGTAAAGAAGCTTCTAGGAGTGGGCCTTTTGCGTATTTTTGCCAATCTCTGCGACTTCTAATGTTTTCACCCTGAAAAGTAATAAACCAATTGTCCGAGAGTTTTGTATAGAAATGTGGATTAGTATCATACCCTGAATTGTTCAATTGTGGTCCCAAAAAGTCTCCTTTTTTACATTTTTTGTTCTTATTTGGGGTTTTTGTAACATTTTTTAGCCCCTATTATAAAAGGGAATTACATTTTAGTCCCTGGATATACATGATTTTTTTAATTTTGGAAACAAAGTGCTTTTTTTAAATCTGGTTCTTATATGAGTTTTTGTAACGTTTTTTGGGTCCCTGTTTTAAATAAAAATGACAAGTGGACAAGCTTTGCAAAAATCAACAATGCCTTGAGGACCAAAAACAGTTTTTGTAATTGGAACAGGGGCCAAAAATGTTACAAGAATAAATTTGGAACCAAAATTGTAAAAATCAGCTATACTCAGAGACTAAAAATGTAATTTACTCTAACTAAAATGTAGTAATAATAACATATCGGTATCTATTTAGAAATGGATACATTAGGGTATACAAATACTGAAAAAAGCACTTGTACTTCCATTTAATTACAATATGTTTGCAACATTGGTTTTAAAAAGTTTTCTTGCAAATTTGGTCCTTATTTGAGGTTTTTTTAACGTTTTTGGTCCCTATTCAAAGTTAAATTACTATTTATAATCTACAAGTATAACTGATTTTTGCAATTTTTGTTCCAAAAGTAGTCATTTTAATTGGAATAGGGTCCAAAAAGAGTTGCAAAAACCTAAAATATAGAATAAAAGTACCAAAAAAATCTTTTTAGGAAAAAACAGTAATGCTTAGGTACTAGAAATGTAAACTACTGTATGTTTTTTACCACTTAAAAAATCTCAAAAGAAAAGCCCAAAGTTTGACCTTTATATCAACTTAGCTAATGAACTATTATTTTTTTACCGATTTAGCCACTGAAGTGAACTATTATATAATATTCAAAATGAGTAATAGTCCATTGACTAAATTGATAAAATGATGAGAGTACATTGAGCTTTTTTGTAATTTACTTTTTTCAGAACTTCGTAAACAAGAAAAATGGTTTTTTTGTGGTTAAAATATATAATGGTTTAATCAATAAAAAGATAGTCAAGTGGCTAAATCAATAAAAAGGTGAAAATACAAGTACTGATTTGTATTATACTCTAAATATCTAAATAATACAACATAAATCTATATATGATAGTGTGTGTGTGTGTGGTTTTATTTGTATCTTTTTACTAATTAATCAATATAAGTATATGATTTACACATGCATATAGAAAGTACCTGAACTTCAATAACAGTAGAGTCTCTCAAGGAATTTAAGATTAGTTGAATATCGCTTGTTAAACTTTGAACCTGAAAAATCACACACACAAACACACACAAAAAAAAAAAAAAAAAAAAAAAAAAAAAAAAAAAAACTGTGGATCAAATTGAGAAAAACACATGAAAAGTATTTACCAATTAGAATAAAAGTATAAAACATTTAAAAATAACAAGCAGAAATACACACATAAGAAGTGAAGTTTAAAAAAAATCAAACGTTTTGGTTTTCAAATTTTAATAGTTTATACGTTTTGTTAATTATAGTACATACAATATAAATAATTTTTCAAGTTATTTTACGATATAACATAAATAGAATAAACTCAATTTCAAAATCACATGTAAAACATCAACATCGCTTTTAATCAGGAGGTTAAAACAGTCATTTAGTCATATTCAGACAGTTCATCCAGTTAAAAAAAACACTCTTTATGTATACACTAACAAACATCATTTTCCATTCAACTACTTTTATGACTTACTCCATAATAAATAAATAAATAAATAAATAATTACTTACTCTTCGAAATCCAGCTATTAAACTGAGTGGCACCCAACCTTCTTCATCCATGTTTGACTTCAAATAATCATCTTTCTTCAAATTTTCTTCACTGTGGTAAAAAAAATTGCATGACAACCATGTTTCAAGTGAGTTAGCAAAGTATGATGTTTAAAATAGAAAATTTATAATATATATACATATATTTTAATGAAGTTAAAATACCTGAAATAATATTCAATCTGTTGTAGGATCTTAACAGGTAAAGGTGTATCCACAAGAGGGATAAACATAGGAGGTGGAGGAGCACGAGGGAGAATGGGTGCATTCCTGTAAGCCTCTGTAGGTAGTGAGGACACATACACAAATGGTGCTGCCATTTCTGCAAAAAAAAATTTATAAATAAATTTATTCATAAAAGAATTTTTCAAGATATATATGTGAATACAGCATATAGCTTTAACATTATTTTATTACAATCAATGATATTTTGGGCAAAAACTTTTTAATTCCAAAGAAGTGAATTATTTCATTCCATCATATCAATAAAGAAGGTGTTTGGATGTGCATTTTGAAAGTGATTGATTCGTGATGAACAATCAAAAAGTGTTAATTAACTGTAATAAAACATGGTGCAAAGAGAGATTCTAATTTGATGAAATTGTATTGCTTGAAGTTGTAAAAACCACTTTTGGCAATGTTAGGGTTTGGATTCTAACTATTTATTAAAGTGATAAAAAAAAGGATTACAGGTAAATTTATTTAATCTTTAATCACAAGTTCCATTGCATCTAGCATCAAAATGAATTATTGATTCAAAGGGTTATATGCAAGAAATAGCAATGTACATTCATTAAATTGTTCATTATTGCATCCTACTTTTATTTCTTCTCAATCAAACATAGTACTTTGAAAAATCAACACAATTATAGCAATGTCATCCAGATAGAAAGCAGGTGACAATGCCATAATTGGACAAGATTTTTCAAAATATAATCTCCTAATAAGAAATAAAAACTTAAAGCATATACAAATAAATGAAAGTACATTGTTATTTCTTGCATTTACCCCCTATTGAAAACTCAGATTAAACACATTAAAATGACCAAAATGGGGTTGTCATGTCACAAAATGGCGATTTTATGGAAAACTATCAGAAGCTGAAATCACTTTACATGGTCCCCACTATGTAATCATTTTTTCATTTGTCATTTCGTGAAACTATTTCTCAGCATAAGAGCAATTTTGTGAAATAAGAACAATTTGGCAAAAGAGAAACAAATCCGCGTATTCAAAAAAAAAAAAGGAAAAAAGTTGTCAAGATTCATTGGAATAGTCATAAAAGAAATTTTGCAAATGAAAGTAATTTCTCAAAGCCCAATTTGCAAAACAAGTGGTCATTTTGTGATACTTTTTTTCAAAAGGGGGTCATTTTGTGACATGTTACCTCTCATTTTGGTCATTATAGTTGTTAGTCCTTGTTTTACCCCTAATCATATAACCAGAAGCAGAGCATGCAACTTGAAGTTGTAATAATCACTTATAAAATGTGCATCACACTATGAAACTCACCATAACCCATGGGTGTTCCATATGGTCTTATAGGCTGGGGAGCAATAAAAGGAGCAGGACCCAGGTGAGCTTGTTGCATATAACCCCTAGGAGGAGGTGGAGGTGGAGGAGCCATTGGAGGTTGTATAGCAGCATGATTTTGAGGACCCCTCCAATCACGATCATGGTGATCTCGCCTACCTCCATGGCCATTGTTAAGAAAAGGTCCTCCATCACCACGAGGACGAGGACCAAAGTTATTCCTCCTCCTATTTGATGAATGATGATCATTCATGGCATTTGAGTGACCCATAGGTCTTGGAGCAAAACTGTTGCCATTGTAGGGTGATTGCTCTCTTACTGAAGTATCCAACACAGCTGGTACATAACCACGATATGACATGTCATAAAGAGGAAAACGTGGCATTGGTGGTGGTGTTGGTGGTTGTGGTGGAGGAGGAGGTGGTGGTGGTCGATTGTAGCCACCCCCTGCACTTCCACCTCGTTTCATTGACCTTTGCCGGACAGGGTGGACATGGTTTTGATTAGCATGGTGGCTTGCATTAGGTCTAACAGGTCTCTGCGGCTGTTGTGAAATTACAGGTGCCTGTAGAAAAGCAATAACGATAAACAATCATAAACTCGAACAAAATGTGAGCAACTTTATTTTTCTGAATTTGGAGTTATTAGTATTGACTGTGACGAAAATAGCAGTTTCACACTGAATATGTATTTGATTTTACAAATAAAAAATCAAACAACATAATCGAACCTGAGAGACAGTGACGGATCCATCAGATGTAGGTTTAGAAGTCTCCGACGTGAAAGACGTCGATTTCGGTAACGCTCGAGTCAACTCCGAGAGCGCTGGCCAGGAAGCAGCGCCCATCACAGGCGTACTACTCCCCTCAACGACGCCGTTTGGCGAGGGTTTGTTCCAAGCCGACTTCTTTAAACCACTCGCATTGCCGTTACTACTACCCTCAGTCGCCTCCGGAAGCGTTTCCACAGCCGCAACCTGCTGCGGCTCCGTTACCGTCAACTGATCAGAAACCACAAGGTTTTGCTCCGGCAAAACAGACGATTGCGATGCAGACGGCGAACGGGGAGCAACCGGGTCCGGCTCACCACCTCCACGAACGACTTGAGCCCACGGAGATGGTAAACAGTTCCGCTGCGAATAACTGTTAGCACCGCTACCGCTAGTTCCTTCCGCGGAAGGGGACGAATCGGACGTCATTCTGTTTGTAGATTTTTGATCAAATTGCAACAATGAGGGTCGGTTGGATTAAAGAGAAGATGGAATTTGAAGAAACTTTACATTAATTTAATTAGGGTTTGCAAAAGTGAGTGATCGAGCCGTCGTCGACTGCTACAGCCACCACAAGGGAATGATCGGAAAGTGAACGCGAAAGGGAGGGGTTTGCCCAGGGCTTTGGGAATCGATAACTATAAGGCCCATTCACTCTTCTTACTGGGCTTTTTACAAATCTCATTTGCCTCTATAACAATTACACTATTGTATGGAAACATTTTTCGGAAACAAGTAGGTATTTTGGGGAAAAAAACAGTGGCATTTTGGGAATGAGAAAATCAAATAAATTAAATTTATTCTTAATTGTGCACTAGACTTTAATATCTATGAAACTATCAACATCATTCATAAGTCATAATGAATGAATTTCGATTGATGATGTTGTATGTGTAGACTAGTCGTCTAGTACGTTGATTTTTTTAAAGATAATGTGTAAATAGTAAGAGTGGACCCTTAAATATATATTTTGATATGTAAGCAAAATTATTTAATATTATGATAAGATTTGACGTTGAATAGGCAAGTCATAGCTAATTATATTAGTGACTAGGATTAAAACTGGAAAAATTGTTTATTTGTAAATAACCAACGATGGTAAACAGTGACTGAACTGCGACAAAATTCAATAATTCCAATGTGTTTTACGACAAGCTAATTCGTTCGTTAAGTTCCTCCCGAATTTCGTTGTTGATCTGTCATTGTTGGTCTTTAATGGCGAATTTCCAAGGGCATGTCCATTGTTGATTCTTATGTTTCTAGTACGTAAACAAAATTTTTGGCTTCCTTTATGATACAGGCCATATGCGGTTGAACACATGACACCTTCTCAAATTCAGCCTTATGTATATGTATACATTGGCTTGCTAGTCCATATATTAAAGATTTTAGAAAAATAGATTGTACTTTTATAAATAATATGTGCAAAAGGTTCTATTTTTCTAATACGGGATGTTGAGGTCTGAAAAAAAAAATATCATCGATGAAGTCATTAACAATGTGAATGCATTTATAATATCTCCATTTTTTTTACGATATTATGGAATTAGATAAAAATATTCTATGGATTTAAGTTTAACATCCGACATTATTGGATTTATGTTGATCATTCAATGTTTAGAATACAAAAAGGAAAAATGAACGGGTCTAAATAAAGGAAACACAACTTAGCTTAAGCTAGATACAAGGTGCCATCAAAACTATTGTGAGAACGTAAAAGTAATCAACTAAACACATGATTTCATCGAAATTATTGTAAGAACGTCAAAAATGATTATGTCGGATTGATCAATTTGAACCTAACTATCAAGGGCATTCTCTTAATCTTGTATATTAATATTTATCCATGATTAGTCTACTATAATTTAGAAATTTTCTAAATAAAGCAATATCATATTCGGTAGATCGTTACATTGATTAATGAGTAGGATATCGATTCATGGAAAAATATCTTAATATCAGATTGCATGTATTCAACAATGATATGTGTTGGAACTTTGTAGTATGATAGTTATTTGAGGTATTTAGTTTTGTTATTTATTTAATATTTGCAAGATTATATATATATATATATATATATATATATATATATATATATATATATATATATAATTAAAAACGATGTTATTTACGTAATTTTTTGTCAAAAAATTTACTATAAATGTTTAATAATATATTGTTTCATATGTATTTGGAGTTGTTTTATGTTAAAAAGAGCAAAATAATAATTTGCTCATTTAGTAGATTTGTTCATCATCCTTGACAACATTTAGGGCCCGTTTGTTTACCTCTTAATTGCAAAATTAAGAGGCAATATCTTAAAAATTCAGATTCAGATCGTTTGTTTGCATCTTATTTTTTACCTCTTAAAGTTATAATTACCTCTTATTTTTTCAGATATTGAACAAGGTCTGAAAAATAAAAAAAAGGACGCATACCTAATTTGCCCTAAACAACGATCGACAAACGCTTCATCGCCTTTCCTTCCTATTCGCGTCTTCTCCCATTCGCATCTGCTTCTCTTCACCACCAAGATTCCGACGAGGCTCACGTCCACCCAAAACGACGATGATGTTGCACCCTGCAACGCCGACGCCGACGCAAGTCCTCCGGCTCGAACTCGTTTTCGGATTCTGCCCAGCAGGTATGTTTCTCTTCTTCTGAAAATCGATTTCGTTGCCTCCGTCCGATCTGCAATGCCACCGGCGTCGCCGACTTCGCCTCCGCCTCCGACATCGTGTATAGGTAAAGGTTTTCTTTTTCTCTTGCAATTCAGAGGTTCTAAACAAACAACATTTAAAAATTCAGATCTTAAAAATTCAGACCCTCTTAGAAATTCAGACCACTTAAAAATTCAGATCTTAAAAATTCAGATCCTGCCAAACAGCCCCTTAGACCTCTTAAATGGTTCTTCTCTTAACAACTAAACACTAAACTATTTAGTTTTATCCAAACAATCTCTTACTTTGTTGCACCACTAATACCTTACAAAATGTTATCAAAACGGTTTAAAAAAAAACAAAAACAAAAGATACAATATAGAAAACAACATGTTTTACATCAATGACAAGATGAATGATTACATATGAATACTTTTTCCGATCTTTTTTCTAGTGATAATCATTTTTTTTCTTGAAGAATACGTGTAACATCTTGTACAATATAAGTTTTAAACTTTTGGCATTGCCACACATATTTGAGTGTACATGAGTTTCCTTGTTTTGGTAGGAAAACTCGTTATTCTCCTATATTTAAATATTTTCAAAACATGATTGTCTAGAGCAAAAACGAATGGATTGCTTCCTTATAGAGAACATGCAGACTTGCTCCTTAAAATCCTAAAACTTAAACCTTCGGATAAAAATATTTAGAACTGTACTCGACTTGAATAAGTTTGACCGAATCTCCAGTTTGCCGGAACGATGTTTGAAAAAGTTTTTGTCACACCATCTGTTGTTGTGACCATGAACGAAAGAGATTGGCCGTTCAAATACGAATTTGATTGCCAATTAGACCCCCAATTGCTTGACATGGATGTCCAACCGGTTCTCGACCCCTTCACCCGCACCGATTGAACTGACCCGACCCCACCAAGATTTGTAATCAAAACAAGCTCAAAATAGTCTCTCCCGTTCATGGTAAACCGAACTCCACCATGTCTCTTACATGGTACCCTAAAAACCACAACACAAAATACAATTAGAAACTTAAATTTTCTCATGCCCATGTTGATAGACAATTTTACTATATTTATGAAAAAGAAACATATTTTACTATATTTATAAAAAAGAAACATGTTAGATTATATTATATTTTGTTTATAACCGCTCAAATGGGCAATATTTAAGAAACCATTTAGCTTTAAGACCTCCCGAGAATATACTATTCACAATCTTCAATTTTGATTTATTAAAAGAATTGTATAATTGTAAGTGCATGCAAATGCAACGTGATTCTTTTACTATTCTATGTAACGCATTCAATAAATGTTAGCAATTAAATCTTGTGATAATAATAATTTTTTGCAATCTTAATTACTTTAAGAAAATAACAAAAAAAAGTGTAACAAATGTCAAAACATTATATGTTGGACCTATTTGACCTAATATTCGATATGTTTTGTTTGACTGCATAATCAATCACCAATTTATATAGTAAAAAACACGAGAAAAAAAATACCTTTGAAAGATAACAGGAATGATCCCGGCTTTGTACATTCCAATTTTTTCCCAAGCAGGTTGAGCCATATCGAAATGCTGAAGAGGTGGGTTACACCACCCTCCAGCATTATTCGGTAGAGCATAATTTGGTGGGCAAAAGTTTGTTGCGGTAATAGTAACCGAGCCCTTCTTGCACCACCTTGAGTCGGCCTTTCGGTCGCATACAATCTTGTAGCATTGGCCACACGCTTTCCCCTTGTTGAAAAGAGATGTACTCAATGCAGCAGTTCTTGTACCATACCCGGCTAAGTGCAAGTCACCATAGCCACATGCTCCACCTACAACCAAGGGAACACCATCAACATTTGTGCTTCATGGATTCTACAATATGCATTAGTGACGAAAAAACTCTACACAATGGCTGTAAATTCAGGATTTTTAACTAGGGTTTGTACTATTAAGAGTAGAAGAAATGCATTACGTACGATTATGAACTTTAACTTAATTATATTCATTTATAGTTGCTTCATGTGAAAAGTGAGATGCACTTTACAATGTAGTACTACTGTTTACAAAGGTGTAAATGCTTATATATATATGCAATAATATTTCAAGTTTTTACTATTTTTTGAAACACATTTTTATTAATGTTTTGCATCAAGTTTCTTGAACTACAAGAGAAAATTGATGACTAACAGAAAGATAAATGATAAGAACACATTACCCATTGTTCCTGAAGCATCGCTGCCTCCATAAAATGTGGCATGACCTTTACTCCACCCTGAAGCAGTCAAGGCATCAATGTCAACAAGAAGATAACAGAAAATATATAACAACAAAATGTTTGTTTTTGCCATTTTTAGTTTGCAAACAAGTGAAGAAAAATGTGAGGAATGAAGAAATTTGAGAGGAAATGTATGACATTTATGGATTTACAAGATCTCGATTGGGAAGATGCCAAATTAATGACAAGCGTATCATCCATGGAACATCTTCACATGTAACCATAGTTTAGAATAATTTATTTTTAGATTATAAATATCATTAAAATTATTTTGATGAAATGTTGGGATCTTGTCATAGATTTGAATCATGAAAAAAAAAACTCAAGGAACTTCTAAGAAAACGGAAGTGATCCTTCCACAATATTTTTTTATCATATACAAAAAAAAAATTCCCACAGTATTTTTTTACAACCCTCTAGAGTATAATTGTTGTACATTACAAAAAGTTATTATGTACAGATGAGCTCCGCCGAGAAAACTGTGCTAAAAAACCTATTGAACTTGGATAGCAAATTTGGTGTTTTAGAATTTGAAAATTTTAATTTAAAATAATAATTTTCAAATTTGAAATATAAAATAAGTAAAAGACCTCCGGTGGTTTTGGTTTCGGGTCAAGCTAAACCAAATCTAATTTGGTTTTGGTCTTGATTCAGTTTATTCGAACCGGATTTTGCACACTTATACGGGGCACTGGTGGAGGTAGGATGAAAGTTAATTGTGGTCCATATGAAACTAAAAATTAGTTGATGCAACAAAAAACCTATTGAAATTTCTCTTGTAAATAAATCAAATCCGTGGGGAAAAAAAAGTCAAACCTACTTAAAAGATTACTATTAAAATGCGACAGATAAGAGAAACCAATTGAAAAGATCAACTATAGAGACACTTGATGCAATAAAGACTAAACACAAAACGCAAAGTAAATTTGTTTATAGTCTATGGAAACAATTTATACATTAAGTTATTGCTAAATTGCTAATAGCCTTTTATTGCTATTTCAGTTTATTTGAAATTAATTAAACCTTTAAAGCTGAAACGTGCAAAAATCCTCAAAATCTTTGGTTGAATTTATTAATATTAATGCATATGCTTTTTGAGGTGCCATAACTTCCCTGTCTAAGTTCTATTATTTGATACATGTACTAATTTAAGATTTATTATATTATAAAATATAAAGTACATGTTTTAGTCTTATGTATGGTGAAACGAGTTTAGTAACAAGTCAAAAATGTTAAAAACAAATTTTGGTACGGATTAGAACATTAGGCCGGGTTTGATTGATACATAGTACATTATTGTCTCGTACTTATAAATACACAATAGGATAAACTTGATAAGGAAAAGTATATTATTACAATATTAATTTAACTCTATTAGAAAGTGATTTAAAAATATTATATTTTATTAAATATTGAAGAATTTGCATCTATTTTAAACTTTCGATGACATCATACAAAAAGCCATGATAGATGTCTTTGTGTAAAAAAATAGATTTACGAATAGAATAGGTTTTTTAATTAGTTTGAGTTACTGGTTATAAAAAAAATGATCTAAATACATATAGATGTTTGTTGTGGATTAATAGAAGGCAAACTTAAATTATGCATTTACTATGGCTAAGGGTGCCGGCTATCATCTCATTTTACTGTTTTTGAGCCAGTTTATCGTCACGTCATTTCCTTCTTTATTTCCTCACCCCTCACTGACAGAAGACGACCACTTATCATTTTTTTAAATTAATAAAAATACATATTGCTTGGCTTCCTTATACTTCTTGCATTAAAAAAATATATTGCTTAACTTGGAAAGATGGAAGAGAGGAGGCCCTTAATTGAGTTTTGTATAATTGTATCCCATTGTAATGGGCACCATACAAGAAGGACCTGTGGGTGTGGTCCCACCCACTGCATTGCCAGGTGGGCATACCGCAAGGTGCCCACCAACCTAATATCTTATCCGGCTCGTTTCTGAGGTACAAGAGAGGGATATGAGTTGTTGCTCAAAGTGAAAGCAGAAATGATGTATATATGTTGTAGTAGATTAAAGAGTGCAATGCTTTTAATGTTTGGACCTTCTATACTTGACTTATTTTCAAATCATTTATATTTTATGTTATCAATTTGTCTTGATAGTGATGAAATAATTCAAATCAATTAATTCATAAGCAAACAAGTTAAACTTATCTTCTTTTTACTCTAATATACCATAAATATTTGAAAAAATTGTAAATTTAGTCAAATACACTAATTACTTTGTGGGAAATAGTAAAAAAAAAACTAAAATTGCAATTTTAGCCGGTAAAATCGCAGATGGAATAAAGCCATCTGCGATTTCAAGAAGCCATCTGCGATTTCAAGAAGCCAAAGCACAGGCGTGCTTTAGCCACTTGTACATTCGCATGTAGTTTTTTTTGTTTTTTTTTTTGTATAAATAGGTTGTTTTTCAGGCTAAAATGGCAGATGGACATAGTCCATCTGTGATTTCCTCTCGTTTTCCATCTGCGATTTTGAGTTATTTTTTTTATTTTTTTATTTTTTGACTACGAAATAATTTTATTATATATAAATTTTTGCAAATAATTATCAGTTTAGCTATTATTTCTTTGTAAAATTTCTTTAAAATCTCTCTAAAAAATGATCGAATATTTGGTTTGCCTTGTTACTGTGGGAGATGGGAAGTTATTGAAACAAATCTCGAATACGTATATCCACAGGGAAGTATTTCTGAATTCATTTTGATATTTTCTAAGTATATTAATTATAGTGAATTTGTATCTTTGGTGAGAAGCAAAACCGGTTTGTTAGACAAATATAAAATTAGTCTTCGTTTCCATCATCCTGAATTGAATCACTATATAGTCATGGTTGAAGACATGGATATTAGAATGTTGATAAATGTAATCAAATGTAGTGGAGGAAGGGCTGTTAAAGTGTTTGTGGTGGCTGATGAAGGTGATGCGGTTACGGAGGGTGGTCAGAGTGGAAATGAGCCGGTTGCTAATTTATGTAGCGATAAAGGGAGCAACAATCCAATAGGGACTTTCAATACTCCTAGGGTACCTCAATTTCATAGTGTTGCTGAAAATGTTAATGTTAGGTATTCACCTATTTACTATGTGGATCCTGAGAATTACAAGTATGTTGGTGATGATGATGTTTGTACATATCGTAATGACGTGGGTGGACGTTGTGTTGATGTTCCCTAACAAGAAGTTAAAGTTATAAATAGGCGTGTAGTAGATAAAAGTAAAAAGAAAAAAAGTTATGATTCAAAAAGATGAAAATGTGCATGTTTACGGGGATTATGTTGACGTTGTTGATGTAGCTTTAGATATAACCGACTTAGAAAGCAATTCTGATGGAAATGAATTGGGTGATGAAGTTAAAACTAAGTTTCCCGATAACCTTTTTTACGGTATGCCCGATGTACCAGCATGTCCAGTTGATATTAATGAAGATATCCCAGCACAGATGGTAGACATCAATCTTCAAAATATTGAATGTCTCGGTATATTTAAGAACAAAGAGCTTCTAAAACGGGCTATTGGAAAAAATGTCTTCGAGAAGGTTTTCAGAAGAGGACAATTAGATCCACCAAATCAAGGTATGAGGTTGTGTGTGTTGCGAAAAATTATTCTTGGTTACTAAGAGCAAAAGGAATTAAAAATTCTGGCGGACTTTTCCATGTGAATAAATATGTTGATGTACACACATGTTCTTCAACAATTTTGCAACCTAATCATCGACAAGCAAACAAATATGTTTTGGGTGAATATCTTGTTGATGTTTTGGCTGAAGATTATAGTAGAGTATATCGGGGACAAAATATTATTAATAATATGAATGCTCAATTGAAAATCAATATTTCATACCATCAGGCTTGGCGAGCGAAACAATATGCACTATTGTTGTTAAGGGGTACGAAAGATGATTCTTTTACCAAACTTCGGGCTTATTTCCACAAATTGGTCAAACATAATCTGGGTACCGTGACACATATTCAAACAGATGGTGATGATTGGTTTGAGTTCTTGTACGTCGCACTTGGTTGCTCGGTTAGTATTATTATATTTTATTACTATTATTATATATTATTTTTATTTTTATTTTTATTTTGGTGTATTTGAATAGATATACAATGTATTGTAGGTACGCGCTTTTGTCAATTTTTGTAAACCGACCCTTGTAGTAGATGGATCCCACCTAAAGGGTGAGTTCAAAAGTACCATGTTACTTGCAGTTACTAAGGACGAACAAAACCAAATATTACCGGTTGCATATGGTATATGCAAAAATGAGTGTATAGATTCTTGGACATGGTTTTTTCAAAAACTACGTGATTGCATAGGCAATATGGAGGAGCTTACAATTATATTTGATAGGTCTCCATCTATAGCGACATCCGGTTTCAACATTTTTCCTCATGCTCATCACGGAATATGTGGTGTCCATTTGTATTTCAACGTAGTAGCTAGATACGGGAAGAGTAAGACAGTTAAAAGAATTTTTTGGGAGGCTTGTAGGGCGTATACAATTGATGGTTGTGATGCTGCCATGGAACTTATGAAAAAGACAAAAGAACCGGTATGAGAATACTTAAAAGGTATAAATCCTGAAACTTGGTCTAGGGCACATTTTAGAGGGAACCGATACAATCTTATATCATGCAACAGTGCGGAGTCTATAAATGCATTATCTAGACACGCACGTAAGGTGCCGATACTTATGTTGATCGATTTTTTTCGTGCAACAATGCAACAGTGGTGGTTTCAAAGACGTAATTTTGCAGGTATTAAGTTTTAATATTAATGTTTTTGTTAAATGTTATTGATATGAACTGTGTAATTTTTTCTATTTTTTAAGCGGAAGCAACAACAACACTCACCCCTTGGGCCGATGATATTGTAAAAGAAAACAAAAAAATCTTTTAGTAATTGGGATGTTCACATGATCTCAAGTAAGAAATGTGAGATCAAAAACGGGGCACAAAACGTGATTGTTGATTTCCAACAAATGACATGTACATGTAGGCATTGACAACTTGATGGCATACCTTGTGGTCTTGTCATAAGAGCGTTAACAGTCAACAATTACCAAGACTGCTCGCAGTTTGAATTAAATGCTTACTATATCGAAAACACTGAGGAAAACGTATGAGGAATCAGTAAACCTTTTACCAAAGCCATCCGAATAGGAGATCC